CAGCAGAATCCCAGGTCCCTTACTTGGGACCACACACTGAAAAGCAAGACCATCAATGGAAAGGTAAGACCCCTTCCCCCCAACTCTTGCTGCTCCCCCGACTATTTCACTGATGAGGAACAGTCATAGAGCAAGAAATGGGTTTGTTAAAGGTCATGTAGGAGTGACAGGTGGAGTCAAATCTGTTCCACGAGTAGAGAGCAATGCTTCTCAGTCTTGGTTGTGCAAGGCATCACGTGAAGGTCTTCAAAGCATACTGATAGCTGGGTGCTTCACCCTTAGATCCTGATTGCTGGAGTGAGTTTGGGAGTTTGCTAGACTCCTGCAGTGATCACAATGTACAGTTCAAGGCTGAAGTTCACTTACAGAGATAAGCCTCACCCCAAACGCCCTACCTGCCTCTCCAACGCCTGATGAAAACCACGTAGCAGCAACTCTGAAGCAAAATATAAAAGAATTACCATATGGGGACAAGAGTGTAAGGAGGCCACAGCTGGCAGAAGACCTGTCGCCAGCTACTATGGCATTACTGTTAGGAACCCAAACTGCCTTGGGAGGGATGATTTTTCATCTCATTCTATGTCCAGGGAAGCAGGTGGGCTTCTGTGCGCATGCTTAAAAGTCCCAGTGGCTAAAGTGGGAAACCTGGCCCCTGCAGGCAAGATGCTCTAAGTCCGGGTGCGCCAGTTAAAGGTCTTTAAAGACAATTTCAGAGACCCCATGAGGTGTTTTTTTAAAAAAAAAAAAAAAAAAAAAAAAAAAAAATGACTTTAAGCTTTTTAGTGACCACTGATGGGATTAGGGATGAGCAAGACAATGAATTCAGCTGACTCTGAATTTAGTGATTGAAAGGGGAAGCTTTTTTTAGGGACAAGACTAAGGCACAAGGGGGCTCTGGAGCCACATGGCAGCCTTCCAAGCCATACCTGCTGCAGCCCTGCCATCTCCTCCCTCGGCTATACCTCCACCAGCTCATCTGGAAACTAGGATGACAACAGTGCCTGGCATATATGGTGATTGGGGGATTAAATGAGCTGATAGATGGAGGATCCTTAAAACAGGGTTGGGTCCCAGTAAGTACTCAATAAACTCAAAATACTAGTTTTTCACATTATTTTCCCTCATGCTTAATCTTTCCTTTCCTTTCTTTCCTTTTTTTTTTTTTTTTTGACCTGAGTTCATCCCAGTCCCAGTAGTGAGTGGGGCTTAGCTCAGTGTAAGGAGTTGGATGGGGAGGGGCTACCGGCCCTGAGGGAGGCAACGGAGGAATTCAGACCATCCTCCGCGCAATAGGCCCCATATGAAGGCTGAAACCAGGGGATTAAAAAAGCCAGGTCACATTTAGAGTTTGCTCAGAGGTGCTTGAGGAGGTCTGGGGCCTCCTGGAGGGAGAGTCCACTGGAAGGCAAGTATGGGAGGCACTGGATCCACACACTGTGGCAGGGTGGCCCACAGGTGGACCAGCCGTGCGGTCAGCCACATAGGCCCTGGCTTATAGGGGTCCGTGCTCGGCAGAATGATCTGGCTGTCACTTCTGAAATTCCTCAAGCTTTTCCAGCCCACAGTTGTGCGTCTTCATTTTGCACCGAACCCCACAAATGATGTACCAGTGCTTTTGCAGGAACATTTCACCTTCCAGGCACTACATCTTCCCTAGCAGGTGAGTCAGTGAGGGTTACCACTCCTTCTTTAAAATCAGGAAACTGAGGCTGAGCATAAGTCAGCCGTCCCTGGGCAGTTGTCAACTGTCCTACTAGTCAGTGGCAAGGCTGCAGCACACCCTAGGTCTTGGGCTTTCAACCTGGGGGTACTGACACCAAGGGGGAGCAGCAACCACCTGCCTCCCCAAAAGCAGTGCTCAGGCCCTCCTGAGCTGGGCTGCAGGAACTGCCTCCCCCCCACACCCCCCCTTCCCAGACTGGGCGAGAGGCAACAGGTGCTACTGGCCCCTGCCAGCCGGAACTGGGTCCGGTCAGGGCCAACACCCACGGATCTGGGTCACAAGGCCAGTTCCACAATGGCACGTCTAACTACTAATGAAACAACTCAACAGTCACAAAGCAAACACAAGTAATCAATGAGAACCAGGACTGCTCCTCTGTACTCTGCCTCCTTCCCTACCCCCTGTTTAGAGAGAGCAAGTTCAAAAATGAAGGGTGAAAACTCCCCATCATGAGCTGAAGATCTGCCCTCTAAAAGGAAGAGCTGGCCTATCAAATCGCACCATGCTTTTGACTTCTCTGACAGTGAGAGGCAAGAGTTTGGCCCAGGCACTGTTCTGGGCAGCTGATACAAATCTTTTGCCCTAAGGAGCTCCTGTTTTAATGGGAGGGAGAAGGAGAATAAACACAGTAATTAAGTGAATTCTACAGTGTCTTCGAGGAAATAAGACACATCATAAAAACAGTAGCCAAAAGGTACTGGGTGCTTACTCTGAGTCTAACTGCTTCACACGCTGTCTCACCAGTCTTCTCAGCTATGGGCACTGATGGCATCCCCAGGTCACAGACTGGAAAACCCACAAGACCCAAGCTGCACAAGACCCCACAGGCAGCAAAAGAATGGGCAAGATGTTGCTCTTTCTCCCCCTTCAGATTTGTTTGAAGGAGAGCAAAACAAGCAGGAAGCTTGATTTTCCCTGGCCTTATACTAGAGAGGGACCATCACAGGTTCATCCCTCCTACCGTCCTCAGTTGTCAGGTCTTCAGAGACCCAACTGGGTCATTGGAACCTCCCAGCTATCCCTTTTCTCCCAGAACTAAGGCTTTGGAGCTAACAGACCCAAGTTCAAATCCTGCCCATGCTAGTTCACCAACGTAGGGCCCTGAGCAAACAGCTTCCACCAGGCAGTCTGCCTCGCCTTCATTTAAATGAAAATTAAACTCCCTCTCAGGGTGACAAGGGAACAGATGTCAAGTCTGCACCCCAAAATGCTCGATCAGAGGCGACTGTCCCACGTGTGACCCTGTTCCTGAGACTGCATAAGATATTCCCTCACCCCCTCTGGAGTACCGGGAGGGCAGGGCCATGTGTCACCCAGCTCTGCAGTGAGGGACATGTAGCAGAGGTCTGAACACAGAGTGAATGCAGGGAATGTTTGATGAATGAATCCTGCAAGGGAGGAAGGTATGTAGGATGGTCAACCTTCCTTAGAATCTGTGTCCTGGAGTTGAGAATACAAAAAGCACGTTTCCATCTATTTTCACCTTTCTGTGGGTAGCCCAAGCCCTCAAGGAATTGAGTGGATCACCTCCTCATGGTGAGGCCCCCACTGTGCTTTGACACAGCAAAGCTCAACTCAAGAAGCACCAGGTCAGGAGCTGTGGGTGACCTGCAACTCTGACGCCCCTTTGACCCAGCTCCCGTGAGGTCCAGATCAAGACCCTCAGCCATGCCTCAACTTCATCCTCCTGAGATGGGGGATCAGGTACAGGGTGAAATGAATTAAATGACCAAAAGCAAATATCTCCCCAAGGTCAAAATCAGCAGACCCTCCCAAATCACATGGGGATGGGGAAGAAGGGGGTCTGGAACCTTTCCTACCAGCCTGGGTAAAGGGTGTCTTGGTTTGCAACAACCCTGGTCCTGTAAAGACTGGTCTAGACACTGATGCCTGCCTAAGGGCTACAGGGAAGCTAACAGAAATCTTCTTGATCAGGAAGGGTCAGGAAGCTAACAGAGATCTTGATGGCACTAGGGCCCAGGACAGGCTGCAGAACCATGTCAGCCAGTGTGACAGTTCCAAGGTCAACGTCCTCTCCAGGCTTGACCCCCCCAATGTGCGACATGCTATGGCAGTCACTGGCAGGCTAGGAACTGTTCTTCCTGGAAAGGCTGTCACTTTACCCTGATTTCATTCACACCTGTAGAAAGGGAAGGAGCACATCCCTATTTTGTGCAGAACGACAATGCCCTCGTGGAGAAGTTCCTCTCCCACTCAAGCCCCTCTTCAGATTCCTAGACTACCTGGCTGTGCCAAGCCCTTCTCACACACTCAGTTCTCACAGGCAGAACTCTATCTTTAGCTCCCATCTGCAGGTGGTGAAATGAAGATGCAGAAAGGGCTCAGGGCACAGGTCCTCCAGTTAAGGGGAGGTTTGACCCCAGAGCCGTCATCTCTGACTTCTAGAATATTCTGAGCAGCTCAATAGAGAGGGAAAAGCCAGGATTCTAATCCCACTCTTCCTCAGGCTAAATAGCCCTGCTATTTTCCTCCTGCAGGACACCCAGATGTGGCTGCTTCAGGTCAGAGCACCCACTGGGGCGCCATACCTTCAAGGAAAGTCTGGTGGAGACCCCTTCCCAGGCTGGCTTCCAGAAGGCTAGTTCAGCACAAGGTGAACTGTGAGGTGGCTGGACACCACAAAGGGCCCACTGTGGTGACCACAGAAAGCCAAGGCCAAGGGCTTTCCTTATGGATGCCTCCCCCTTCCCGTTGTGCCCTCCTAACCAGGGCACTGGAGCAGACAGTCTGGGGATGGGCAGGTCTCCTGTGCTGCCTTGCCTGGGGGAGCCTCAGCACAAGGAAACCTAAAACCCTCCAGCTGCCGCCAGACGGGATTGGGGTAGAGATTCTGGGGGTCCCAGGGGGCTCACAGGAGGTGCCCTGGACACACCTGTCAGTGGGGGGTGGGCCCAGGAAACGAAGCTCTGCAGAAAAGATTAAGGGTATGGCTGGTTTGCTCCCATCTGGAAGAGTGAGGCAATCTGCTTCTCGGCATTGGGGGAGGGGTGCGGTTTGAGATGGGGGGGCGCAGGCTGGGGAGAGGTTCGAGGGGGGTAGGGGTGGCACGGCCCCAGGAGGTGGGTGGCTTGGCCTCTCCCTGCAAAAGAGGGCACAACCCGGCTTTGTGCGCGGCAGGGGGCCCGTGCGGGGTCCCTGGGGCCCGCCGAGGCATGCACGGGGGGCCGCTCTGGCATGCCCGGCGGGGGGGTCCGCGGCGGGCCGGCCCCCGAGGCGCGCGCCGGGGGCTCCCGGGGGACGTGGGCACCACACTCACCTCCTGAAGTCAAAGGGCATCGTGCCGCCGCCGAAGCCGCCGCCGGGGGTGGGAGCGCTGCAGGCCGGGCGGGCCGCCGCGCCGCGTGGGTCCCAGCCTGCTGCCAACGCCTCCCTCGGCCGCCCCGCCCCCGCCGGCGCCCCCCGCCGCTGACACCCGCCGCCGCCGCCCGCCGCCCGCCGCCGGGAAGTGACGCTCCGCGCAGCCCATTGGGCGCCGGCCGCCGCCCCCGGCCGCCCCTTCCGCTGCCCGGTTAAAGGGGCCCGAGGGCGCGGAGGAGAAGGGGCGGGCTTTGGGGGGTGCGCCCTGGGAGTCGAGGCTCCGGGAGGGGAAAGGGCTGCAGGAAAGGCTTCTGCATGCTTTCCTTCCAGCCCCCCGCTGTGTTGTCCTGCCTTCCTCTCCAGGACACAATCCTCCGAGTTTGCATTTATAGGAGTTTCCTTGAGTTGTGAAAATTAAGTGGAATGATCCAGATGTTGAGCCACGCAAGCCATCCAGCCCTGAGGAAGGGCCTGATGGATGAGAGAGGCCAGGCGAGTCTAAATTTGCGAAGTGGACCCACCACTCCCCTGCTGTGCCTCTTTGGTAATGGTTCTTTTTTTTTTTTTTTTTAAGATTTATTTATTTATGCATACGAGAACTGGGGTGCAGGCCAGAGGTGTGGGGGTGAGAGGATTCACCAGAGACAGAGTGGGGAGCAGAACGGGCAGATTGACTGAAATGCACTGCTGAGGGGAGCAGCGGGCGAGTCAGGAGAGGTCTGCTGCGCCATGTGTGTTGCTCCCTGGCCTGGGATCGAACTCGTGTTGCAGTGGCTGCGGATAGCTTCATAGGTTACATCTTAACCCCTTGCGCCACCAGGGAGCCCCTCTTTGGTGAAGATTCTTGACTTTTCTGAGCACCTACCACTTTCCTGTGCACAAAGAGGAGGATGACTCCTCCTCAGGGTCATGAGAAACTTGGGAGGCTGGCCCAGTGCCGTGTGGCTCAATCACCCAACACTGTTGTGGTTGGCTAGTAGCCCTCTCTGCTTCCAGCTTCCTCTGTGGTTCATTCCAAAGGCATTGGTATTGTTTGAGGACAAGGTCCACCCAGGATATGGGTTGTCTCAGAGGCAGATGGACCTGCTCTATTACTTGAACCAGGACAAACTGTGAGCCTCAGTTTCCTCCTGTAGAATTCACAGGTAATCCAGTATCTGCCTCCTAGATCACTGGATTAGAGAAGATGGGAGTCGATGTAGGAGAACAGGTTTCTGAAACACCCTGTCATGGGCCCCATCTCCAAGCTTGTGTTCAGGCTTGAAAAACCCCAGGGGAGGACAGTAGGAGGACAGTAGGGTAAAAAATCAGGGCCAGTGGGCAGTTTCCTCATTTATAAATAGCCGGAAATGGAACCTGTTCCCTTGGCAGGAGTCCAAATACATAGTGCCAGGTGGATCTATGTTCAATGGGCCTGACCTCCTTCTGATCACAAACATCCCCTTTTCATGCATTCATTCATTCATTCATTCATCTGTTTATTCACCAAGGGACCTGGCACTTTGGGGAGAGAGAAAGAAATCTCAGCCTGAATTGGAAGCCTGGGAGCAGTAGGAAGAGTGAAGGGTCTTCAGTAGTCAGTCACATTTGATCTCATGTCCTTTCTCCTCAAGAAGTGATAAGCAGGGACCTGCCTGGTGGCATAGGGGTTAAGTCTCAGCAGTTATCACACTATCACTGCTGTGGCCTGAGCTTGATCCCCAGCCAGGGAGCTAACCCACATATGGTGCAGCAGACTTCTGTCTCATCCGATGCTCCCCTCAGCAAATGTATTTCATTAAATCAACCTGTCCTGCTCCCCACTCTGTCTCTGGTGAATCCTCTCACTCCCTGCACCTCCAGCCTAGACCCCAGTTCTTGTATGCATAAATAAATAATTTTTTTTTTTTTAAGAAGTGATCTACAGGTTGGTAGTGGTCCACAGGCCACCTGCTTGGGTATCAGAGGAAATATTCTCAACCTCAACCCAGATCTGTTGAGTCAAGGGTGCATTTTGCGTGATCTCCAAGAAAGTCATTGGCACATTTAAGTTTGAGGCAGACACTGATACAGGGAGGATCTTGTTCCTGGAAGTAAATTATGGTGGAGACCTTATGGATTTGCTGTTCCTTTTGCCTGAAGGGCTTCTCATAGTTCTGTTGTATGAATTACACTGATGTATATCAAAGACTTAGGACAGTGGCTGGCACAAACTACAGCATGTCCCTCCTTATCCATATGTTCCAAGACCCCTACTGGATGCCTGAGACTTCAGATAGTATCAAATGCTATAGATACCATGTCTTTTTCTATACAAACCTATGACAGACTTTAACTTATAAATTGGGCACAGTAAGAATAGCAGCAATAACTAATAATAAATTAGAATAATTATAACAGTTCAGATAATAAGTTATGTGAATGGTCTCTCTCTCAAACTATCTTACTAGACATAATACTTTCAGACCACAGTTGACAGCAGTTAACTGAAACCATGGAAAGTAAAACTGGATAAGGGGGGAGTACTGTAAATGCAAGACAGGATTGACTATCATGTTATTTTTGCTTTGTGATGGAGCTCCCAATTTTTGTCTGGGCTCAATGAAAGTTGCATTTCCTGGCTTTCCTTGCAGCTAATTGTGGCCATGTGACTAAGTTCTGGCCATTGAGATGTAAAGGGAAGTATCTTGGGATATGGGTGTGTCAACTTGGGATAGCCAGACTACGCAATCCAATTTTCAATAGGGGTAGGCCTCCCCAAACCAATTCCCAGACACCAGCTGGGTGACTATGAATTAGCTCAATTCTAACACTATCTGCACATACATGGTGTCAAATTACACTGACACTCAGTTAAGGACTCAGTTTCCTGCCCTAGACACTGGCTATAAGTACAAGCAGCCACCTGGACTTTGTATTGAGGTTCAGGTGATGAAGCTTGATGTGTGGGGTTCTTGGGTCCCTCTGAGAAAGAATTCAGCAGGTGTAACTGTTATTGGGCAGCCCCGATACAAAACGGGGTGCCTGACTGTGGGTCCTCACCCGCACGCTTAAAAGGACTTATCAATGCTCTACTGCAGGCACACGCGAAAGGTTAATAAAAGGTTTATTTACAAGGGAAAGGGGAAATGAGGAAATATACAGCTCAGGGAGAAAAGTGGGAGACAAAGTTTTAAATGACTCCTACCTGATCCGCCGATCAGGAATCCCAAAATGGCACTCTGAGAGCTGGCCGCAAGCCAGGAGCCGTGAAGCCAGGAGGCGAGCGATAGCCAGCCCCCCAAGGCCCATGTGTTTGGTTTTTATACCCAACCTGGCTGCTTAACTCCACCCTCAGGTCCCAGCCACCTTCTCTTTGGTGGTGACGGGATTTGTCTTTCCCAATGTCTTGATGGCTTTGGTCTGGAGTGGGGGTGGGGTCCACAAAGCCTGTATGGGATTAGCGCAGGACATCCTTTCCCCCTAACAATCCCACTCATTAGCATATGGAAAGTTTATTAAGGAAAAGGGAACACCTGCATAGACACAGGTGGGCAGGAGAGCTGCCTTTTGCCAGAGCATGGGATATTCTTTCATAGTGTTCTTGGATGGAATTATTGTGGAAATTATTGGGATTAGATTGGGTTGGTCTTCTGTGACTGATAATCCTCTCTGCCCCGACCTCTAGCCGATAATCTTGTCTGCGCCCACCTCAGATTTCTGGAAACTTCCATAGCCACTATTTAGTGTAAGATTCATTAATCATCCCTACCCCCACCACTGGTGATTGTGAGACCTTCCATCCTAAATTTTCCTACTTTCAGCTTCCATCACTTTGACCAAAGAACTACAGACTGGAGGTTCCCATGACCCCGTCCTCAGACTTCAGGTGTCCATTGCAAACCTATATGTTTGTGCTTCTGACCTACTGGTTATAAATCAGAGGTTCCCAGGACCCCCTCCTCAGGTTTCATTAATTTGCTAGAACAGCACACAGAACTCAGGAAACCCACTAACTCACTAGATCACCAATTTATTATGTTGCCTGAAGTAGATGTCGCAATAATAGGCAGAGTTTATTAGATAACTGAAGTGAAGATTCAAACCCCGGAAGCTGACCAACACATTTTATGTAGGAACAGTGAGTTACTGGCATCAAAAAGGTAGTTGTTTTTGAGGGGAGGGGCACTTCGGGTTTTCTACTGACTTACATCTTTTGATTTCCTAAGTTATCTTGACCTCAAGATACAGTGATGCTATCTGTGTGCAGAGATGGCAAGTGCTGGGGTTTAATCACTTCCTCGATTTCTAAAGTATGTTGGGTGGAAATGCAAAGATGGATACCCATTGTTTAAATCTTCTTTATCTGGCTCCCTGGTCATTAGTCAGGGTTGAAGGTTGGTTTACCTGCAGGCAACAGATTCCTGACTGGCTGCTTCACAGAACGGGAAAAGGAAGCCAGTTTTCACTTAAAAGCCTAGCCAGATAACTTTGCTCTCCTGCCTGCTAGGTCATGGAGAGGGTTTCCCAAAATATTTACATTATGTTTACAATTACCAAGGTTGTAACACAAAAACAGCCTAATGGAAGCAATACCTAGCAGAAGATATGGGGGAGGGACATGGAGCTTCCATGCTCTCTCCAAACTCACCATTCTCTCAAAATCTCCCAGAAGCTCCCTGAAGCTCCTCTCTTGGGTTTTTATAGAGGCTTTATTACATAGATATGATTGATTAGCTCACTGACCACTGGTGATTGAGCTCACCTTCTGACCCTGCTCCCCTCCTTAGAGGTCAAAGGGGGTGGGACTGGAAATTCCCACCCAATATTAATATCTGTTTCCCTGAAAATCAGCCCCCATCGAGTGGTGTATTCCAAAAGTCATCTTCATTAGCATAGCAGCAAATACTTTGAACACTCTCAACACTCAGGAAATTCTAAAACTTTGGGGGGAGCTGTGAAACAGGAACAGTGAATGTAGATCATACATATGTGTGTGTATATATATATATATATATATATATATATATATATACATGTGTGTGTATACATTTCTTATAAATCTCAATAGTGCAGTGTATATCACCCTTTGTGTCTCTTTCACCATTTGACTGCCCAAAAAGTGGTTGCCACCATCCTGGACCATGAGGTGGAGGTCATGTGGAGCAG